CCCTACATCCGAAACCCTAAACCCTCAACACTAAACCCCTAAACCCTAAACCCTAAACCCCAAACCCCAAACCCCTAATCCCAAAAGGGTATAACCCCAAAACCCCTAACCCTAAACCCCAAACCCCAAACCCATAATCCCAAAAGGGTATAACCCCAAACCAAGGCTCCTCCAAAGGCCAGGCCGCTCCTGGACGCAGGTGTTCATGCGGAGCGCTTGCCTGGTTCTTAAGGCTAAGGCTCTTAGGACTCATGTGCCAGGGCTCTGGGACGGAGGGTTCAGGGTTTAGGGGTTTAGGGTTTAAGGGTTTAGGGGTTTGGGGCTTTAGGGTTTAGGGGTTTAGGCGTTCAGGGCTTTCGTTGAACATGCAGGGTACTGGGCTTAGGGCTCTAGGGCTTGAGGTCTTAGGTTCTTGTCCATGACGACAATCGAAGCTGCCAGAATTGCTTGAAGCCGAAGCCAGCCTTACGACATATCCAAATAAATCGTTATAGGCATATCCTAAACCCTAAACCCTAAACCCTAAACCCCCTAAGGGCCCCTAACACGGTAATTTAAACTCCCTTAACCCTAAACAAACATCCGCTAAACCTACCTTAAGACCTTAATCTCCCAGGCTAAACACTAAAGGGTTTAGGGTTTAGGGTTTAGGGTTTAGGGTTTAGGGTTTAGGGTTCACTGAAGCCTCAAAGAGCCCAGGCGCAGTGTAGCAGAGCGCGCCCATACTCGGCAGAAGCTTCAGCAACACGAGAGGATCGCCAGACTTCGCATGTCTCATAAGCAGTGGGCTGAACCTGGGTTTTAGGGTTTGGTGTTGATAACCCTAAAACCTAAACCCTAAACCCTTTGGGGGTTTATAGGGGTTTAGGGTTTAGGGTTTGGCAGCAGCAGGCCCGATATGCGGGTTTCGTAGCGCTTTACTTGATGCAGTAAGGGTTGAATTCGGGCTTCATCGGTTTTGATCAGAGCCTTGTTAGGGCTTTACAAAGGGGCTCTAGGGTGTTATGGGGGTTCATAGGGTAGTGCAAGGGCTTCATAAGGCTTTCAGAGGGCTTTAGCAGGGTCTTCCGTATCCACTTGAGAACAAGGATACCCCTCTCAATTCATTTTTTTGAAAAGGAGATCTTCCAACAAGAAAAGGCATATTACTCAGGAAAAGTCCAGGTGCTCGAAGCTAATGTAGCGGCAGCGGGCCTCTTCGAAGAGCTTCAGGCATCCACGCAAGACCTTCAGTTCATGGCCCTGCGTGTCAATCTTCAAATAATCGACATGTGGGAGCCAACTTGGGAGGAGCTTGTGTAGAGGCAGCACTGGAACTGGCTTCCCTTCTCCCCTGCCTGTATCAACAGACTCAATCAGCGAATGTGTCTGTTTGTTTGAGAACATCACAGTCATCTCTTCATCCGAAACTGCAGCATTGATTATGTAGGCAAGGCCGGTGTTGCCAGTGGGTTTGGGTAGCTCTGGCATTACCCATTGATCCCCTTCCTTCCGGAGCTCCACAAAATGAAATCTGGAGTCACCAGAAACCACTTTTTGAATCTCTTTTATGTTCCCAGGTAGCATCTCAAAGGCAAAGACCGTGAAACCGTTCTTGACGGCGTCCCGCGTCTCCTTTGCATCGTAGCCCAAGCCAATGTCAATGACGAACTGTCCTTTCCCAATCCGTTTCAGAAATCCTGGTGTATGGAGATTTCCCTTGAAGCACCACTGCCTTACTTGACTTTGCCACTACTGTACCGAGTGATATTTTAATTTCTTAAATCCCACAAAGGTACTAACTTACAGAGACCTAAAGGCTTAAAGCGTTAACCATTACAGAACCACGGTGCAAGTTGTCGTAGATGCCGAGAAGGCCACGGGTAGCATTGAGGTGTCTTGCCTGGGTTCCCCAGTTTCCTCCGTAGCAATAAGGGAGGGTTTAGGGCTTAGGGTTATTCAATTCTTCATCAGGGAATCTTCCTATGAAATAATGTTCAAAGGGCTACTGCTGTGGAGCCGAGTTGCTTCTGCCAAGGCTTCCCAATCATCTTGGCTGCGGTTCAGTACCACAGAGTTTGGGCACTGGTGATCAAACCTTACTTGAAGGATCAAATTGGAGTTAGAGGGCTTGAACGATCCATTTGTGGTTTAGGGTTGAGGGTGTGGGGTCAGTTTAGAATTCAGGGTTTAGGGTCTGGGGACTTGCAGTAAGTTGTAACTGAGGTTAAAAATACACAAGCCGGGGTTGTTGATCCCCTTACTTGTCTGCTTTAGTCTTAATTATAGGGCTTCTGATAAGGGATTCTTGAATAAAAATGATCTATATAGGGCTCCTTTAAAGGTACAGGAAGCATGAGGCCAGCACAGAAACTGAAATGGAAACTATAAGTAAGTAGCAAGTGCTGGAGCTCGCCTAGGAGAAGGTATCGGAGCTGAGAAATGCTGTTTTCTGCAGCTTTGTGGTATCTGATGCGAGGGCATGCGTACGCAAGTGCTGGAGCTCCTAGGAGAAGGTATCGGAGCTGGGAAATGCTGTTTTCTGCAGCTTTGTGGTATCTGATGCGAGGGCATGCGTACTACCTGTTCGGGTGCAAACAAAATACAATGGTTCTGTATATAGGTCCGAATACCCAGAAGAACGCTGAAACCCGCCAAAAGTACTGACTGGAACACCCTATAAACCTCCGTCGAACGTTCATAGTTCGAAAATGGTCGAAAGGGGATAAGAGACGAGGAAACGGGCCACCCAACAACATAGACACAATGCAGTCATTCTGTAGTTTCTGAAAGCTGGAGGGTAACCCGGGTAGCACGGATAAAGCAACCACGGACGCGGATAGAGAGTATCGGACACATAGAATGAAATCCTGAATGGTAGCGCAAAGCCCTAAGCCCAAACCCCTAAACCTAACAATCAAATCCGATACTTAAAAGCTTTGAGCCCAAGAGGCAAGACATCCTGCATCGTTCGGTTGATTCGCCATGGGGACGCCGCTTCCATGGTCAGCGTAGTCCCCGAATTGCTCCGACCGGCTGCACATGGGAGTGTTAGGCAGGGACCTATCCAGAGTTCTCAGCACACCACATAAGATATATATATATATAGAGAGAGAGAGAGTAATAATTACGCACGTGTTTCGCTATCCCTCCTTCAACGAATTTTTCTTGCTTGCTGAAGGTGTGCTGGGCTCTCCAGATAAACCGGGTAAACCCGAAGCCAGTCATCGATTCGCAAACACAGGCAATCAATCTTCGGGCAATCTAGACCCTAAACCCTAAATAAAACCTATAAACCTTAAGCTTCCTTGAAGCCTAACCGGGGAAACTTCCAGGCCGTTCACCGATTTCAGTTTGGGGTGCTAGACAGAAGGCGTGTCATTCCACGGCTCAAAGACCATAGCCTGTAAAAGCCGACATGGTCAGATTGTAATTCGGCTGGCTTGTTTTACCGATACGAGCTGATCTCTTTCTTCCTCCGATAACCCTTACATTGTCATGTTAAAGCGGGTTGAAGGTGTAAGGGGCAGGGTAGCTTGAACCTTCGGTTCTGCTAGGAGCCCCTGAAGTGACAATCCACTAGTTGGCGGCAAGTTTAAGCCTCGAAGGGTCCCAGTGCCTCTATTTCGGGCTTATAGGTTTTTGGGGTTTAGGGTTTAGGGTTTATGGTGTAGGGTTTAGGGTTTAGGGTTTAGGGGTATAGGTTTTTGGACTTATGGAATCTTTACCAACATATACTAATTAGACAGCGGCTGGTGAATGGCAACCTGGTTGTATGAACCCTCTACAGAAAGCCTTGAAGCCACAAGACCGATACGTGTGGAGCTTACTTCCTCGGCTAACTGCGGTGCTGCAGTGGACAGTGCGAAGCACAACCCTCACTCCCAACACCAATGTAAATCAAGCTGTAATGCGAGCAACGAAAACGGATTTCCACATTGACAAGAGTATGTGGACTGACTAGGCCCCGAAATGTTGTGCAACGAAACACATTTTTGACACAGCACGAAGCTCTAGGCGCAGCACTCCGAGGTGGAGTTCGATTCTCCGCTGGACTCCTGTGTATCAGGCTCCTCCATGGGCCGTGACCAAAGCCTTGGTCTCCGGCCTACAGTCCGCACGCTCGCCTCCCTAGCAGCTGAACGGCTCTGAGCCAGATCACACATCGTGGTAAGACGAGGTCGGGACACCTTTCCTTCGTACCTCAAAGCTGGAGCTGTTGCCTGTCTCCTCATTTTCGTCATCGCTGATGCTGCGAAAGTGACCGGTGCAGTAAAGACAAAGCCGTCATTGCAAACCGACGCTGCAGAAAGTTGGCGAACTTGCTCTGCTGGTCCTCTTTCCTCATGCGCCGCATCGATGAAACGGTCTGTCTCGTCCACGATCTCTTCGTTGATCAACTCCTCAAGCACATCCTCCAAGGTAAGAATACCTGCAATCGTGTCAAGGAATCTACATTACGCCCCCGATATAAGCATCTGTAGTACATTTGTGCAAATAATCTGGCCTCCTTAATATATGATGGCAACTTAAGCTCCTCAACAAGAACCCAGATACCCAGAGGAGTAGCAGCGGAGCAGGATCCGAGGGCAGTGCCTTTGGGATACACCAAGGCCATGTGTGTTTGGCCTGTTTGGAAAACGTCCAGGATCTTGTAAAGAGGTTGGTCCTCAAGCACCAGCACCAAGGGATTCAGTCGTTGAGTGGACACTGGCCATGCATCTTCCGGCCTTGCTATGCCCGCAATTCTACTTCAAGGTTCATGGGACTTAGTAACTAGGGTTATAAATAAGGTAACTATGCTTCAATTACTTATAACCCCAATTAAGGTACTTATTACTGTACTTATTAAGTCCCATGAACCTCCAAGTAGAACTCTTAAAGTCAATACCTGTATCAGAAAGAGATACAGAAGAGCACACTGAACAAGCACTCAAAACACCTAAACTCCAGGGCCCCAGGGCCGTGCCGGATGCCTAAACCCTAGACTTAGACCCGACAGCCCCTATAAGCCCTATAAGCCCTAAACCCTGGATCCCAAACCCGCTGCCTTAGGGTGATCAGCTTCTTGACGAGCAGGTAGCCCAGAAACTTTGTTGGCTGGCCGTGCTCATGCACTGGAATGCGTGAGTAGCCTCACTTCGGCTTGCGGACTGTGTATATATATATATATATATACGGTGTGTGTATATATATATATACGTATATATATATATATATATATGTATATATATATATATATATGAATACATACAGAGAGATATTAGGTATGCATTGCTGCCTTTAGGGTTTAGGGCTTAGGATGTGAAAGCGTGGTCTTAGGAGTTTAGGATATAGGTGGGAGCTTGGGATTTCAAGGTCTACTTTAGGGTTTGCAAGGACTGGGGTTGGGGCTCAACTTTGCTAAGCTGTTCAGTAACCAACCGGGAAAAATATATACTTTTCTGGGTTAGTTATATTATATTAGGAACCAATACCCCAAAAAAGTCAAAACATGATACTACTGAACATCCTAGTTTGAGCGGCCTGATTTCATGATCCAGTCGAGGGTGTTGGCATCGAGGACTGCATCGGCTGAGAGGGACTGGACCCGATCGATTGGGGTCATGCCATCCTGCCACGTGAACACTACCTATGGTCTCCATTGTAGTTCAATTTTTGGTTTAACCAGAAGGTAACCCCCAAAAGGAATTAGGGTTTAGGGTTTAGGGTTTACCTATGGTCTCCATTGTAGTTCCATTTTTTGGTTTAACCAGTTATATATTTAGGATCCTAGAAGGTAACCCCAAAAAAGAAATGCAATGGAGACTGTAGCGAACGCTAGGTTAAAGGAAACTACAGGTGGAGAGTTTAGGGTATGTAGCGCTTCTATCAGGCTTCCATAAGGTATATAGACCTTCTATAAGGCTCCTATAACGGTAGCTACCCACCTGAACATGTCCTGGACTACAGTTGCGCGGATTTACAAAGATGCTCCCCTCTCTGCCGGAAAAGTAAGTAGAAGAAACATCAACAAAGAAAACCTGACGACACAAGAAAATACATAAACCCTGCTTTCATGCACCCTCGCTGTCCGCTCCTCCCTGCTAGGGCAGGGGAGGGTTTAGGGTTTAGAGTTCAGGGGGAGGAGGGGGGCTCGGTGTAGCGCTTTTGGCGAAAGCGCAGGGACTTCGGGGTTCGGTCGGGTAGAGGTTTCGGGGCCCCTCCTTTCAGGGGCCTTAATGATTGGAAAAGGGTTTCGGGGTATATTTTGTACTATAATTCCAATAAGGAACCAACAAAATACCATAGGTACTTATTACCTTAAGGCCACTATATTACTGTATAGGAGCCCAGCATGGAGCGGAGCTTACTAGCGCAGGGCTCTATGTTCGCGGCTTCGAGGGAGGAGGGTGGGCCGGAGGTGATGGCTGGCTTAGAGCGCACACAACATGTCTTAAGCGGCCTGAGCGCACAAAATCAACATAACACTCTTAATAAGTGTGGTTATGACAAAACTATAAAACTGAAGCTTAATAATTCCTAAGAGCACTAAAGGTACTATTCGACTAGACGGTAGAAAGGCTAGGCGAACACTTCTACTGAACTTTAGGTGTTTTCCTTTTCCTAGTCTTACCCTCGCCAACAGGTCCGACTATCGTATGATGCAAAGACTGTCGGAAGGGACAGGCACACCTTAAACTCTAAACCCTAAACCCGCCTGAGATCGCTTTCGCGCCATGCTCAAGGCACCCTGCATGATGGCGGCCTCCTCCGTGCTGAGGTGGCCCCGCTCCTTTCTAAGGTTGAACAGGGTTCAGGGTTTAGGGGTTTAGGGTTTAGGGGTTTAGGGTTTAGGTTTACCTACTATATACTATATACATCCTATATGTACCCTCAACGGGCCCTATAGGGTCCATATTAGGGGCCCATACTTCTAACCTTGGATCCTTGTGTATCTCCAAAGCAGCCGCCATCTGCTCTCCCTCGTAGAAGTTCCCCTCATCATGGCCGAGGAGGCAGTCGAGCATCTTGGCCTACGCTGCTCAGTAACTAACTGGGAAAAAGTGTGTACTTTTTTGGGTTAGTTATATTGTTGAACTATAGTAGGATTATAAGGTATATACTTTTTTGGGTTAGTTATATTGTTGAACTATAGTAGGATTATAAGAGCCCCAAAGGTTAAAGGTTACCTACTCGGCCACTAAGTGGCGATGGGCCAAGCAATCGGAAAGCAGATGACCAGGAGACAACGCACCAAGGGAGCTGCGGCTGCACCAGCTGCAAGGCCGTAGGCCTTGCCTTAGCTGCCTTGAGCCCAAAGAACCCACATTTTTAAGGACTTATATAAAGAAATCATACTAGGGAACCCTAAAAAAGGGAAGGTTCTTTAGGGTCCAGGTGCAGAATGCTTGGGGGAGGATTTCCCCGAAACCGAGTACTGCCGTCACAGAGATCACCACAGCGGCAATGCCGGGAAGAACTCTGTCCAGCACCAGGGGCAATGCTTCCATGGCCAGGGCATTACACAGCAGAAGGGTCACCAGAAGCAGATGCTTCCGTTTGATGAGGCCCCGCACCTGCGGATTAGGGCTTACTTAAAAGGTTCATGGGACTTAGTAAGTCGGGTTATGAATTAAGGTAACTATACCTATATTTACTTATAACCCAATTGGGGTACTTATAACTGTACTTATTAAGTCCCATGAACCTCCAAGTAGGGTTAAGATGGATTAACTGTAAGCAGCCACAAGCCAAGCTTTAAGGTCTGGTATCGGGGCCTACGGCATGTGCGTTGGTTATGTTCTACAATATAGGTTTTATAGCGACGAAGGGGACATTGCATAGGATACTAGATGTTGCTAGTGATGGAGACCTCGACATATTGATCCTGGTCAAGGTGCTGCTGTAGCCATTCTCTGCTCCGAAGGGGAACCCACGCGCTGGACGATGCAGAGCTCCAGCTCCTCCCATGTACTTGGCTTTAGGCTTTAGGGTTCCGGGGTTGGGGCTTAAGTCTAGGGCTTGGAACACTAAATCTCGAAAACCCTGGGCCCTGATTTCGAAAAGTACGACTGATTAGCATAAGTCGGACCTCAAGAATGTGGATGTAAACCCTGGCCCTAAACCTCGGCCGTCACATGAAGTGGTTCAGCACCGGCATGGCCTTCTACGATGTCTCCCTACACCCGAAACCCAAAACCTGTGTTGATTTAGGGCCATGTATGGGGGGGACCTAAGCCCTAAACCCTAAACCCTAAACCCTAAACCCTAAACCCTAAACCCGCCCGTCGTCTCCTCGACTGATAGGAGGCCAAGGGTTAGCCCGCTCATCATCCCTCCAAAGAGTACGAGTCCGACTGCAGCAGCTACCATGTACCTCTGCTGTCTACCTATGTTTTTTAGGGTTTAGGGTTTAGGGTTCGACATCATCTTTCCGGTGCCATCGACGATTGTGGCCAATGTGTGCTCAATCTGCGAATGTTTGTAGTCCAGTTTCGCTTGTGTAAGGACTGTCAGTGTTCATGTCGTCGATGCGGCCATTGCTCCTGGTATTCGGTTGTCCATGCCGGTGGCGTTGTGATCATTCCTGTTGTCATTGCCATAAGCGCAGCAATTGATCGTATTCATTCTGGCTCTGCTACTTGTCCTGCGACTGTTACTGGATTCTCTGTGTTTGCTACTGGTACTCTCCTACTACAGTTGTTCGTCCAAGTACTAATAAGCCGCAACGCCTACACCATATAAGACGCATAAAGTAGAGCCAGAAAATTGGAACATTGTTATCCTCATGCCCTTAAGGAAAATGATAAGGGATCCTAGCACAAATCATCCTTAAACCATGTTCCAACTTTCCGGGGGTCAGGATACAGTCTGAACCCGTAAAGCCTTATGAACCATACTTAGCCCCAAAGGCTAAACTCTGCAAGTCCTATAACGCCTTAAATGCCAAAACCCCACTTGAAACCCGAATAGGATTCCTGAAAACAACCCTTATTGATAGTAGCTCTTTTGGCAACTCTACACCTAAAACCACTAAACCTTCACCTTAAACACAAAAATCCCTCTAAATCCCTAAACCTTCACCCTAAACCCAAAAATCCCTGAAGCCCCAGTGGTGGCAAGGTTGCCAGAACTCTGCGCTGCCGGCCGGCAGCGACTCTGCCATGGCTTCCCTTTTGGGGGGGGGGTAAGGTTTAGGGTTTAGGGTTTGGGGTTTAGGGTTTAGGGTTTAGGGTTAAGGTTTAGGGTTTAGGGTTAAGAGTTAGGGTTTAGGGCTAAGGTTTAGG